ATCACATATTTATTTAGGATAGGGGGAAAATAAGCAGAAAATATCTCACCTTAACATCATTTTTAAATTCAGGAGCTATGTTTAATACCAAGAGATAGTGAGCATATGCAGTTCCAAAGTCCTGATTCTCGAGACAATGTTGAGCACTTTGCAAGGATCTGGAGACTAATTCACGCCGACCAGTTTCTTGACTAACTTTGTGTCTATGCCGAGATTTGCTTTTAGCGTTAGGCATTTTTAATTAAAAGCAACTGCACTTTATCCTGCAAACATAAAATTAACATTTATTCTATGATTATGACCATAATGACCTATTATTTGAAAAATCAAAGTTATTTTTGTTCCCATTGCAATTATTCATAAAAAAAGGATCCATAGGTTAATTTGTACTATTTTGAACGGTATTGTCATTCTGTTCCTAACATGGAACATACGAATGGAGTGGACTCAAAATATAGCATAATTCCTGTTTTTGTAAATGCAAGAATGCACTCTTATAAGTCAAACTTTATATCAAAATGGAAAGCTGTATTTTTTTTTCTAAAGACAGTGATTGTCTTTAGAACATTATTTATGTAAGAAAGATAATTATCTTATTTAGCCTGGCTAGTAGTATTGAATGAAAATAATCCAACAACTAATTTGTAGTTTAGATAGTGCTCGGTTTATGATGGCAACTGGGATTGGGATTGCTGTTGCTAAGTGTTGAATTTTTAAAGTGTAATATCACATGACAGCATCATTTTGTGATGACAATCACGATTACCACTATAATCCCAAGATATATACCAAGTATATACTCGAGTATAAGCCGAGTTTTTCAACACATTTGTTATGCTGAAAAAAGCCCCCCTTGGTTTATACTCGAGTGAGGAAAAAATGCCTTTTTTCCTGCAACCCGTTTTGGCTTCCAGGGGCTGCAGGGAGGCTTGTTAAGGCCAAAATGGGGCATGGGAAGGTGCAATGTCTCCCCCACCCCGTGCCCCGTTTTGGCTTCCAGGGGCTGCAGGGAGGCTTGCTAAGGCCAAAATGGGGCGTGGGGGGGGGTGCCTAGCAAGACTCCCTGCAGCCCCCTGGAAGCAAAAATGGGCTGGGGGGGGGGACTTCAAGGGAGAAGAAACAAAGAAATCCTCACTGTTTAGGGACATCCCCACGTGCACTCAGCTTGAGTTGAGAGCTTATTGTAATAGGCTGGCTGCTAGCTATCCTTGCTCAGGATAAGCTAATCAATAGTGGAGCTCTAAGAATGCCAGACGAGAAGGAGGAAGGTAGGGAGAAAGAAAGAAAGAAAGAGGGTGGGGAGGGAGGGAAGGGTAAACCCTTTTACTCACACTTCATCCTCACTGTTTGGGGATCCCTAAATTCACTGAACTTGAGTTGAGAGCTTATTGTAAGTGCCTGCACTAGCTATCCTTGCTCAGGGTAAACTACAAAACGTTTCGAAATGTCTGGCTTTTCTTCCTCCTACCAAAGACCTTCTGGGGTTCTTCAGAGAAAGGAGAAATGGAGGAAGAAAGAGAGAGAGAGAGAAGAAAGAAAGAAAGAGACAAAGAAAGAGAAAAAAAAAAAGAAAACGGAAGGGAGAAAGAGAGAGAATGCAGGTATCTCTTAACAGAGGCTTGAGCTTGCCTGAAATTAGATCAAGCCCTACATCACTTAACCCAATGTATCAGATTAAATTGTTATTGAATTATTTTTGGTATATATACTACATTCTCTTGTATAATTTAGTTATAGTGTAGTTTACACTATGCACTTACAGAGCTAGTTTACTGTTTTTCTTTGAAATAAATATTCAAAAACATTTAACCTACTGATGCCTCAATTAATGTAATTTTATTGGTATCTATTTTTATTTTGAAATTTACCAGTAGCTGTGGCATTTCCCACCCTAGGCTTATACTCGAGTCAATAAGTTTTCTCAGTTTTTTGTGCTAAAATTAGGTGCCTCGGCTTATATTCGGGTCGGCTTATACTCAAGTATATACGGGTAAGTGGTTAAATGGGAAGCAGTTCCAGGTAAGGACCGAAGGGAGGTTAGAAGGAAGGTGCGATGCCATGTGAGCGAAGAGTAGTCTGAGGAGGGAGTTGGCGCTGCCCCCCTCCCCCCAGTTTCTATTTGCTCACTGACTTCGGCTTTACTTATGTAAAGCTAGGGCAGAATATTGCAAATAGCAATAATGTAACTTCAGGGTACTGCAACTGTCACAAGTGCAAGTTGGTTGCCAAGTGCCTGAATCATGTCACAATGGGAGTGGTGTAATGGCCAGAACTTTTGAGGACCAGTTATAAGTATCACTCATTTAGGCTATGGAAACTATAAATGGTCGCTGAATGAGTGTTTGTAAGTGAGAATTACCAATAATGAAATTTACACTTAGCTAGAATTTTAATTTTAATTCATATTCAGTATACTTTCATTGTGAGCTTTCTATCAAATCTAAGCAGTCTTTATTATGTCATAGGCCAGCAAATAAAACACAAGAGTCACAATTAAGATAAAAGGAAAAATAAATATCTAAAAAATATTAGAGTTAATACATTGCAGATTATAAAACAGTACTTGGTCAGGGAAATAATATTAGATTGATCCAAAAATAACATCTTGAGATAAAAGAAACCTGAATGACCAGGATATTTAGTAGGGAATGGAAATAATTCGGGATCAACATCTGCAGACAAAGGGCAATACAAAATAACATGTTCCATCAGTTCAACTATTCTTCTGCCACATGGACACTGTCTCTGATGGAAGGGGATTTTTTGGGGTATCTTCCTTCAGTAACAGCTGTTGGGCACTGAATCTGGCTAAGAATAACATTGAGATATCTAGCTGGTTGGAGAAGATATGCAGAGTATCTCAAGAAGTTGTTTGTGGATATTGCTGGAAAATCTGCGTGTAGCTTTAAATCAATGGCCCAACTTTTCTACTTAAAATGTTAAGCAAATTAGTCCCAAATTCTACTATTATTAGCTGCATCAAATTAGGTGCCCATCATTTTGACCAAATCTATTAAAAGAACAGATTAGAAATCACTAAAATCTGTTCAAGGAATTTCAGGAATCTCTGAAAAATACCCAAGATTGGCCAAAGAAATGAAGTGATTAGATTATGTAATTAGGGCAAACACAGCTACATGTTCAACTGTAAAAAGTGATTTATGACAATTTTTCACACATACAACTGTTGCAGCATCCCCACGGTGATCAAACTTCAGACACTCGGCAACTGACTCATTTTTTTTTTTTTGAAATGTTTTGGGATTATGTGATCACCTTTTACAACCTTCTTACAGACAAAGTCAATGGGGAAGCTAGATTCATTTAACAACCATGCTACTATCTTAACTGCAGTGATTCACTTAACAATTGAGGCAAGAAAATGTTAAGCAAAACCCACTTAACAGATTTAAACTTAGAATAACTTGCACTCTTTGAATGTACTTAACAGTATACTCACTTAACAGATTTAGACTTAGAATAATATACACTTTGAATGTACATTAATCGGCATACATTAAATGCAATGTTATTGCATACAGGTCTCAAAGGGTCACCACCTCCAATATGTTTCACTTAACATAAATTTTGGGTTCAATTGTGGTTGTAAGTCAAGGATTACCTGTACTGACTGAAACATGGCTTTTAAGACATACTTCTAAAGGACCTGAGTAAATCCACAGGAAGAGACAACAAATTGTATTTTTCCCACCAGCAACCAATCTGCCCTTACTAGATAAATAATAAATAAGACACATAAGCAAGACATGTTCCATAGGTATTTCATGGAACGACCTGAAAAGTGGTACCAAACTTTCTAAGATTTAAAACTTTAAAAGTTAACATCAATACCTTACAATTCAATTATGTTGGAATGCATAAACTCAAATAACAAAACCTCTTTCGGTGTCCTATATTGTTTTTAAAAGCAAAAAGGGATCCTGAAAGAAAAAGGAGTTGGCACTATTGCTATCTATCCAACCCCCTTGAACGGAAAGCAGAATATAAACCTAACTAAATAACATGTAAAGTTTGTGAGGTTAACAAGACAACCCCCTTTGCGCCTGGCATTTTCAACTTCCCTCGAGAGCAGTAATCATCCTTGGGTAAATCTTCTCAATTTATTAATATTTATTCAGAAATGCTAGTCTTAGAATAAAGGCCCTCGCACGCAAATCGCCCCCCCCCCCCCCCCCGCCCCATGCAAAAACAAAGGACACGGAACCTTATTTAACCTTTTAAACTGTTGACAGTTCAAGGCGAAGAGGAAGCGGAAGACCAAGATCTCCGGCTTCTCACAAAAAAATAAAAAATAAAAACCACGCCGCGTGGAAGACCCAACTCCCGTGTTATGTATACACGCGTTTATGGCATCCAGACAGAGTAACGCTTCCGATTCACCCGCGCTCGCCAGAGCTTCCTCGGACAACACAGGCAGGTTCTGGGCAAGAGAAACAGCCCAGGGAAGAGGAGGAATCAGGGCGCAACCGCCAACACGCAGGTTCTCCGCTCCGCCTCGATCTCTTCGTCCCCCTTCCGTGCGCGGCGCGTTGAGGAAAGCGAAGCTCAGAAAGCCCGTCCGCTTTGAACGAGGCGGCGGCGGAGGCCTCTCTGAGGTAGAGAAAAGGGCGGCGCCATAGGCTGCGTGGCCTCGCGGCGCCTGCCGTCATCACCGCCCTCCCCTCCCCGTGCTTAGTAAAATAACGTTGAGGTCTTAGTGCCTCTCACTCAGTGCGGTTCTTACGTGCGTCGATCCGTAGTTGTATTTAGTTTAAGTCTTATTTCTCGGTAGATTCGCACACATAGGCGCCCTCGCGCACGCTCAGAAGTCAGCCCTGAATGCGAGGGACTTAACTCCAGGGTTTTAGGGTGGCACCTTCCAGGATGAATTAAAATTGTGGGGCTACCACCGGTTGCGAAGAGCTTGCTTGAAAGATTAAAATTCGGAAAGCTGGTTTTGTTCAGTGTAATTGGGGGGGGGGGGGGGGGAGGGGAGATAAAGTGAAGTTTTAAATTCATTTATTCAGAAATCACCCTAATTTAATGGACCTAAAGAATTGCAGCCCAACGGCCGCTATCACTTTTTTTTTTGTTTCGGCTGCATAATAAACGGATTTGTGTGAACGACCGACTTGTTTTGAACGACCGTCGCCGATTTGTTTTCCTGCGGCTTCTTCTAATCTAATCTAAAACCGTCCCAACCGGGCAGTTGGGAGAAGCGCGGAGTCCAAAGCAGCGACTGAAGCTGACGCCCCTGTTCCAGGCCCAAGGGAGACTCCTCCGTCACCCTGAGGAGCGTGAGAGCGGCAAGACCCGGACGGCTGAAGGGAGGAGCCGAGCGAGAAAAAGCTCGGCGTCGGATTGGAAAAACTTGGAAAAACCGGAGGCGGGAAGGCCGGGAGTGGAGAGACAGCCTGGGAAGGAGGCGGGACCGAGGGAGGGAATGCAGATGCGGGCCAGCCTTAGTCCCCTCTTCCAGCCAGTCCGCGGGGGGAGGCTCGTCCGGGGAGCTTCTTCAGAGCAGCCCAGCTTCTGCCTCGGCTTCCAGCGGAGCACTCGAGGCGGTCCAAAGGGTGCGTGGAGCTGGTGGCGGATTTCTCAATGACCAACTTCTCCCCCGCCAGTCTCATTCCTGTGGCGTTGCTCGTCGGCGGCGCCGAAGCCCTCCGGTTCTCCCGCATTTCTTTTAGAGGGCTTGGGAGAGTCCTCGGCGGCTGTCGCCTTTGCCCGGGTGAGGCGCTGTAGGGACCGGTTCTGGTCTGGAGGAGAAGGCGGGCGTGCTCCTCCTGTAGCCTCTCGGAGAAGGATTACATAGGCTGAAGTATTTTGGTCTAACCCTGCCGCCGCCTCAGCAGCAGCCATGGGACTGCAGCCTTTGGAGTTCAGCGATTGCTACCTGGACAGCCCTTGGTTCCGGGAAAGGATACGAGCTCATGAAGCGGAGCTGGAGAAAACCAACAAATTCATCAAAGAGCTGCTCAAGGATGGCAAGACGCTGATCGCCGCCACCAAGAGTGAGTCGAAAAGTTGGGAGAGGCGGGATCCAAAAGTATGTGCGGGGTGGTGGTGGGGGGGGGTGAAAAGAAAGGCTGGTTTTGGCACTAAGAGGCGCAAAGCAAATAGTCGACTTTGCCACCAGATTCCCTGGCGCACGTGTCCCGGTAATCTTTTCTTGCCCCTACAAGGTCTGGGGGCGCCGAAAGCGCGATTAGCTGTTTGGATTATTTCTCCCGACTCCTCCTCTTGCCTGGGCCAAAACAGCAGATGGGAGCGCAGTTTGAGAAGAGTGTTGGGTTTCTTGGATTGGATGATTGAAGCTCAGAGTAGATAGAAAAGGACGGGACTAAGAATTGCTAAGGCAAGGGTCGTGTAAGGGAAAAGGGGGGGCTTCCCAAATTCATGACCATTCGGCAATTTTACGCTAATGACCGAACCGATTTGCATTCTTTGATATCTACAGCAGTGCATACACGAATTCATGCGGATAGTAAAACACGGTTAATACTGAACTTAAGAAAGAGCTGCCGCTTTCCGACTAATACGTTTGCATAATTTACACAGCATAAACTGTGTTAATATTCTGCTATTCTGCTACTCCTTCCTGAAGTATGCATTGAAATCCGTCTCGAACCCGCGCAGCCTCTGAATAGGAGAATCCGTCAGGAATTCCACATTTAATGTTTCCTGAGATAAAACTTACTATTTTGGGCTTATCAGTATACCTTGAACCTCCTGTGGCACTTCGAATTATATTTCAAAGCCTTTCCCTTTTTTAAAAAAAAAATCAAAACATATTCATTCTTGAATATGACTTTATTATATACAATAAGAATTCCCACAGCTGCCTTTCCTGATTGTCAATTATAGGCCCTTGGTGCTGTAATCAGAGTTTACGAGATTCATATTTATGCACAATATGATTTTATAGCTTGATTTATTCTTCAGTATTTGTATTGTGCAATCATTGTGTAATCATTAATTACTTGATTTAAATATTTTCGGAGTATACATCACTTCTTACTTTACTTTGCATTCATTGTAACAACACAGATATGTTTAACTTAGGTCTGAAACCAGGAAACTAAATACTGTGAGGAAATTCAACAGATTCTATAGAATATATTTACTTTTGTTTAAGGTAATCCTATATGTACATCTGTATCTTTTGTATATACACATTTGCTTCATGTAATTTAAATGGATCTGTTAATGTTATATGTGTTTGGTGTTTATATGGTGTTATGTTTACTGGGTTTCGGGGAATAATACAGGTTCCTAATCCCTGAATATTTTGCTTAAAAGAATAAATCTTAAATAAAAATGTTTTTATCAAGTTTTGCTGGGTCTTTAGGCTCCATTCTGCTGCATTTCTGAGGCTGTAGAATGGTGTAGAATGATCAAGTTATGCAAATCTCAAGCTTGCCAATCTTATTTCTAATTGTATCCTTAATGACTTTTTTAAAATTAAACACTCATTCCTTTTTTCTTCCTTGTCTTGTGTTCTATAGAAACATGGGTGTATTCCTTAAATTGGAACTTTGATTTCTGTCAGGGTATGCTGTGATATTGAAGATTAGCTCATATTTGAGTTAATGATTTCCTGATTACAGCACTGTATCAATTCAACAGTATGGACCAGATAATTGTAAATGGGAAACTGTATTTGTTCTAATTGTACAACAAATTGTAAACTTTCCTTAAAAGTTTCTCCTTTCCTCTTACAACACAGTTTTGATTTATACAATAAATAGCTTTTCCCTGAACAGCTGCAGGATTGCAGTTGGGTTGTTCTTGCATTCATTTAACATCCCGGATATTGTGCTGAAATAATTAAATGTTAAGCCTTTTAGTCTTCTGCAAGCAATTACATCCATCATTTTTGTTTTATTTGCATACATTTGTAAGTTTGAGGAAGAGCCTTAAATCAACAACAAAACAGATTGGAGTGGAATAGAGTTCCACTAATAAAATATAGCTCCACTAAAACATTATTACTTGCTGGATATTCAAATGCACTATAACAGAACTTTGGTTTAGCAAAATAGTTTTTGATACTTATTTTGGTTGTTTTTCAGTTATGAAGGAGTAGGATGTATAATTTATGTGTATTTTCATACTAGTGTTTGTTGATATTGGTAAAAGATAACATGTTTTTTTCTTTCCCTTTTGTTCTTATTTACACTTTGGTTCTCAGTTCCAAATATTACACCACCTGATATTTTTCAGGATGTTCTTAATCACAATCTTGCATAATATTATACAAGTACTATATAATTGCTATAGAACAAATGCATGAAAATAATATTTCTAAAACTTGAGGATAATATATGTTTATTCTTTTTTGAGAATTCTTTCTGAGACATGGAAAAACACATGACAAATATTTAACATAGACATTGTAAATATTAACTGTGTCCTGTTCTTCTGTTCACATTCATTAAAAAAAATACTAAATAACACTTTTATATCGATGTTTAGGGTCCTGTAACTTCTGTTTTTAATAGTTTTTAATCAAGAATTCTAATAACAGTAAAAGAAAATACAAACTAAACTCAGAAAAAGAAAGAATAAAGAAAAAATAAAATGAGCAGAGACAAAAGAGAAAAGAAATATTAAAGAACTGACTTCTCATCTTCATCAGAACAAGGTCAGGAAGAATTAATAATTTTTTATCCCCTATATGATAATATTTATAAGAAATATTTCTTCTTTCCATAATCCATCCTTTATCCATACACAAATCCATAGATGCAAAAACTCCCAGGTATACAAATATGTTTTATTTTAATGTTGATCAAACATACCAACTTTATATTTCCTTTTCTTCCAATCTTAATCTTTAATTTATTCAAATATTGTTATCGAGTTTGATCTCTTCAGTTTTTTTTCGTATCTCAAAGGTTTCTTCTAGACATTAGCCAACTTTTTTGTAAATCCAGTAAGAAGTCCTCATCTAGTCATTTTCTTAACTTGTCATTTGTATTTCCAATTTAATCTGTTTCTAATCCATATTTTTAAAGTATTTCTTCCATTTCCAGTTATGGTTTTTCTCCATCAGGAAAACATTTCACTTCTTTATTCTGAAACTTTTTTTTCCTGAAAATGTATTTCCCCTCTTTTTTGCAAGATCTTTTACCCTTTGTGTCTCTTTTACTTCTGCCATATTTTCTTTTAACATCTTGTTTTTGAAATAGTCTATCCATCATTGGAAGAAGCATACATCATTGCTGACATTGTAACTGTTGTTTTCTGACTCCTTTCTTCAAAGATCTGGAGTATTTCAAATATCACGGCATTTTCTGTCAGTTTACAAAAACACAAGACAGGCTTTTCATGTCCTCCCCCCCCTTCCCCCCCTTCTTCTTTCATTCTAGAATCTTTAGTTCCAATTTGAAATCATAAGGTCATGAATTTTTGTTAGGGTAGACTAAACAATTTAATTCCCACTGTTTGTATGGTGGTGTGTGTTTATTTAATTGTTTCCAAAATTTTATAGCAAGAGTTCTAATAATTCAAGTTTGTCTAGTATTTTAATTCATTTATAACTAACTTATATCAAACTCTTACTTAGGTTTTTGACATTCATTTCCAATTCTTTATATTCTTAAGGATTAATTTATCTTTTATTGAAGAGTAAGGTAAATTTACAGGTAGTTTTTCAAACTTGTCATTTTGAAGTTCTCTGTGATCCTTAAAATAATTAGATTCCAAAAAGTGAGGTTAATAAACCCAGTATCCTTTAAAAGGCTCTGCCACAGTTGGAAGCATGTTGGCTTCCCTTTGCCTCCTACCCGTAGCACTCAAAACTTGGGGGGAAACTGCTGTCCTGCTGTCTGTTCATGAGGAGCAACTGCCCAAAGCACAAATAAGTTATCTGTTGTTCTCTCCTTATCAAGAGAGGTTCTGTGGGACCAATGTACTCGTCATTCCTTTAGTCTTGGCCAGAGATGTTGTGTCTGCTGTTAATGGAGATGCTTAGCTCTATTCTTCCTATGGAAATCTGTAGTTCTGTAACTTCTTATTTTCACTTGTAATTACTCAAAGATCTGTGGTTACCTGCAACCATTTTCCCATTACGAAGTGGCAGCTCTTAAAGTTGGTGCAGTTACTCTTTGGGATCCAGTTTGAGTCTCTTATGATTTCCCATTTCAATTTTTTGAGGACAAATAGTTTTATGAGCGTTTTAATGTATCTCCAAAGTAAGCAGGGCATGAACTAGATTCTTTCTTTCGTTTAAGGTTTAACAATAAAATTATCTCTATAATTACTTACAATGAGACCTTGCTTGCAGACCTGACTGTTCACTCAAGCTTTTGGTGAGAATGACTAAGGCTGCCTTTTAATTTAGTTTGTTTTCTTTTGCTTCCACCTAGTTTGTTCTTCTGCCATCTGTATCATTTTTGTTTGTTTTTGTTTTTATTATCATTTTTTATGTCTTAAATCATTTGTAAAGGGCCCCGAGTCACTGGAAGTTGGTTGGCATATATATTTTAGTAACAATGCTTTTCCTAAATTAAGGGTTGAAAAGATATAAGATTTTTCTAGCACTGCATTCCTGACTGAAGGGACACTATCCTACTGTGGGGCAGAGATAATTCACAGTACTTAATAACATGTGGAAACATTTCCCTAAGAAATTTGTTGTATAGTTCAGTAATATAAAAGTTTGTTTTGCTATTTTTACATTTAATTTTCAGAAGTAGGTTTGTGAAAAAGAACTAAATTGAGAATTATGCAATAATAAATGGGAAGTTTAGCACTCTTAGAAATGTTTTTTGTAGAACAATTTTTAAATTTGTATTTAGGACAGCATCTATATACACTCACTTCTTGCTAACTTATTGAGTGAGTTCCATTCCAATAATCAGGTTCTTTAGTGAAATACTAGCTAAATGAAGACATTTCTGAGAAAAAGGGAGACCTGTGAATGATTGTTAACTAAAATAATTGCTAAATGAGGAGTTACTGTATTCAACGCTTCATGCAGGTAAAATTCTTAGTTGATTTAAATGAG